GCATGCTAGATATCATTGTAAAGTGGGTAAGTGGCATGCTAGATATCATTGTAAAGTGGGTAAGTGGCATGCTAGATATCATTATGAAGTGGGTGAGGGGCATGCTAGACAGCGTTATAAAGTGGGTGAGTGACATTAAATACCATTAAAAAGTGGGTGAGCTATAATGTAGATAGGTTTGTGAGTGACATGCTACATGTACATGCTATTATAAAGTGGGTGAATAACGTGTGGCACCATTATAAAGTGGGTGAGTGATGCATTAGATATGTAAAGTGGAGGAGTTACATTCTGGACACCATGATTATTAAGTGGTTAAGTGACATGCTGGATACCATTATAAAGTTGGTGAGTGTTAGAATGTTTAATTGTACCAATTATCCTTTAACTGTACCAATATGTAATATATGCGAATACTTTAATGTTTTCCATTTTTCAGGTATTTATGACTACCTGTGGTTGTCCTTGTTCGTGGCCTACATTTTCGCATTCCTCATTCTTCCTGTGCAGGCAATAACAGAGAACCAGATACCTCCAGGGTCAACACTACTACTGGTCACTGAACAGGTGAGTTAGACCGGTGTTCAGTGAATAGGTAGGGGAGTGGGTACTGGAGACCCACAATAGGAAATATCTCAGGGTTGAAATACACTTCTGTTCCATTTTGCTGCTGGTCATTAAATTGGTCAGTTTTACCATTGATCAATGAACAGGAGGTTGAGAGGGTACTGGAGGCTATACTGGTTTGGTCAGTTTGACATTTGATGAAGGTACATATAAATCATCATTTTTTTCTGGGGTCTTCACTGTGTAGGCAACAAAGTAGAATTGACTACAGCTGGAAAGCGCAGTGGGTTGCCCTAAAACTCTCTGGATATTATATGTGCTTATTTCCTTGAATTCAATCATTTGTAGTTGTGTTTCCCTGTGGTAGTTTAAAATTAATGTTAAATGTTGTATTGTTTCTCCATATAGCATTATCAGGCTTCTTAATATTTTGTTCTGATGATAATTTCAACAGGTGAGGTTGGTGATGAAAACATATGCCTTTGTGAGGTCCAACACTACCAGAGCCTTGAAATACAGGCCTCCTGTAGGTAAGTGCAAGCTACCAGCAGGTAAGTGCAGGGTGCCTGCAGGTAAGTGCAAACTACCTGCAGGTAAGTGCAGGGCACCTGCAGGTAAGGAACATAACTCACCTTTGAAAATCGGGCATTTCTGAGCTTGAGGATGCAAACTTTTTAGGATTTATCCTAAATTTCATGATGTGGGATGTAAGACATACCTGTTTAGGGTTCTACCTGGGTCCTGGCACCCCTTTTTCCAATAAGTACAGACTTATTTAGAATTTTTAAAAATTTTTGAATTAGTTAATATTTCTTTCTTTTTTTNTGCATTAGATATGTAAAGTGGAGGAGTTACATTCTGGACACCATGATTATTAAGTGGTTAAGTGACATGCTGGATACCATTATAAAGTTGGTGAGTGTTAGAATGTTTAATTGTACCAATTATCCTTTAACTGTACCAATATGTAATATATGCGAATACTTTAATGTTTTCCATTTTTCAGGTATTTATGACTACCTGTGGTTGTCCTTGTTCGTGGCCTACATTTTCGCATTCCTCATTCTTCCTGTGCAGGCAATAACAGAGAACCAGATACCTCCAGGGTCAACACTACTACTGGTCACTGAACAGGTGAGTTAGACCGGTGTTCAGTGAATAGGTAGGGGAGTGGGTGCTGGAGACCCACAATAGGAAATATCTCAGGGTTGAAATACACTTCTGTTCCATTTTGCTGCTGGTCATTAAATTGGTCAGTTTTACCATTGATCAATGAACAGGAGGTTGAGAGGGTACTGGAGGCCATACTGGTTTGGTCAGTTTGACATTTGATGAAGGTACATATAAATCATCATTTTTTTCTGGGGTCTTCACTGTGTAGGCAACAAAGTAGAATTGACTACAGCTGGAAAGCGCAGTAGGTTGCCCTAAAACTCTCTGGATATTATATGTGCTTATTTCCTTGAATTCAATCATTTGTAGTTGTGTTTCCCTGTGGTAGTTTAAAATTAATGTTAAATGTTGTATTGTTTCTCCATATAGCATTATCAGGCTTCTTAATATTTTGTTCTGATGATAATTTCAACAGGTGAGGTTGGTGATGAAAACATATGCCTTTGTGAGGTCCAACACTGCCAGAGCCTTGAAATACAGGCCTCCTGTAGGTAAGTGCAAGCTACCAGCAGGTAAGTGCAGGGCACCTGCAGGTAAGTGCAAACTACCTGCAGGTAAGTGCAGGGCACCTGCAGGTAAGGAACATAACTCACCTGTGAAAACCGGGCATTTCTGAGCTTGAGGATGCAAACTTTTTATGTACAGACACAGATGTGTCTGTACATGTTGCCATCACCTGCGTCTGTCGTCGCCGTCGCCGTCGCCGATCATGTCGCCGTCGCCGTGCACTTTCAGCGTTAACACCATANTTAGTTAATATTTCTTTCTTTTTTTTTTTTTTGTAATATAAGACAATGGTAAGCATTTAGAGCTCTGACTTCCATTACGTTTGTTTTATTTTTTCAGAAGGTGAAAACAGTGAAGGGGAGGGAAGTGATGGCCAGAGTTCAAATGATGGCCCATGTCCAAACTTTTCAAACTACCTGTACTTCCTATTTGTCCCAACACTTGTGTACAGGGACAGTTATCCAAGGTGACTTTGATTTTCTGAATGTTGGTCAGAAATTTGATTTTAGTGATAAATATTGCAAACGAAAACATTTCAAATTTACTTTTCTCATGATCTGCTGGTAATATAGTTCAATTAGCTCTTTCTCAGTGAAAGATCACATCATGAGTATACATGTATGTCAGATTATATGCTGCTTGGGTTGAAAGAAAGTGGTTAATGATTACTTGTCACTTTTGAACTTCTTTTACTGGATACTGCCATATCTGATATTGTGTCAAGACTCAGAGATACATCGATAAATATGTTCGAAAATTATGAAAGCAAAACTAGAAGTAAAAGATAAAGGTTTTGCTAATTGAAACAAAAAATGAAATCCACTGATTTTTCTCTGCAGGAGCCCCACAATTAATTGGAGATATGTGGTAACAAACTTTGCCCAGGTGGCGGGCTGTCTTATCTACCTGTACTACCTACTGGCCAGGTTCTGTGTACCTGTGTTCAGGAATTTCAACCATGAAAGTGTCACCCTGAAGCAGCTGCTACTGTCCTCATTTGGTTGCATGCTGCCAGGCACTCTAATACTGCTGATAGGTGGGTTGAGCAGAAGGGTGCATTTATTTATTTTTTTTTTCAGAAAAGAACTTCAGTACAGAGTTGTTCTTAGCTTGAATTCTAAAATTTCAATTGTACTTTGACTTTAGTAAGATCTTTAGATAAGTTATTTAAAGAAGTAAAACTTGCCATGACATATATTCAGACCAAAATTATCTGTTAGACAACTGCAATTTCTCCTGTACATTATATATATATATATATGTATAACTGAACTCTGTAATGATAATGTTATCATTTATTGTCTATGATCTAGATTCCTTGGGTGTATATTATTTCCTGTCTATGCTTCCAGCATTCTTTGCCATACTACACTCCTGGTTGAATGCCTTTGCTGAGATGCTCAGGTTTGCCGATCGTCTTTTTTACAAGGTACAGAAATATACATGTTCATCTTCACTGAAGGTTGTTTCTTTCAACTTTGAGCAAGATCGTAAATCTAGTTGAATATATTAATATATCAGTGATTATTATAATGAGAGTTGAATAGTGTTGAGATTCTATTAACCTTTGAAACAAAGGGTGTTTTAGAGTGTTAAACTCTACTGTGACATATAAGATAATAATATTAATTCCAGGATTGGTGGAACTCCAAGTCGTATGCTATCTGGTACAGAACATGGAACTGTGTAGTCCATGACTGGCTGTTTACTTATGTCTACAAGGACATCTCCTCGTTACTTAAGGTGAGACAAAAGCCGCAGGCACAGACTAAATTCATCAGCTAGTCTAGGTTTTCCACCACAAGGAGAAGCTTGGGGAGGTGGAGTTAGAGAGTTGACATTTGAAAAGCTCAGTTTGACTTTAAGTTGTTTTATTTTAGTATTTTTTTTAAACCTTAACCAGGGCCAACAGATAATTGGTTTTACTATATGGAATTTAAAGAAAGAAATCCTCTAAGCCATATCATGCCAAACATTGGTTGACTGAAGCCTGTTTAATTTAAAAATCTTAAGTGATTGAAAACCCTTTGAATAGTTATTATAAATCTTTTGAATTTCAGTACTTGAACATCCAGTGTGGGCGAGCTACGCCTATGGCAGTAGTCTTTCTGTTGTCAGCCATCTTTCATGAGTACATTGTTACTATGACGATGGGATTCTTCTATCCTGTGTTGTTTGTTATGTTTGGAGGAATTGGATGTAAGTATTAGATGCACCACACATGTTGGTGTTGGAAAACTAACTCTATACAATGGCACAATTAATGCAATATGATGATACATGTGACACAAAAGGTGTGGAGTCTTTTCCAAGCAGTTGACTCACCCCATGCTGAAAATTCACATCTAACTCTTAAAACATGACTGTTCAGTTTTCTTTTAATGTAGTTCAAATCACACAATCACCTAATTTTTGACACTTAACCAATATGCCAGATTATTTATTTTTATATTCATTTTTGCATAGAAATATTGGTAGCAGCCTGAATTTGTTCTGTCTCTCTCTATATTTCAGTTGGTTTCATGTTCCTTGGTCTGAAACCCACTCACCAAGCCTGGAATGTGTTTATGTGGATAACACTGATGATAGGGATGGGCTTGCTGATGTGTCTGTATAGCCTGGAGTGGTATGCCAGAAAAAACTGCCCTGTTACTGCGGTAAGGCTAGCATTCGTGTGCACACATTCACATGCACACACACACACACACACACTTTTGCAATCTCTTTTCAAACAATTTGCCCTTGTGTCCGGTCTATTCCCAGCCTGTTGGCCCCATGCACTACCTGTTGGCCCTGTACCTGTACCTAGCCCTGTGCCTACCTGTACCTAGCCCTGTGCCTACCTGTGTCTAACCCTGTGGCCTTGTTCCCAGCCTGTTGGACCCCATTCCCAGCCTGTTGGCCCTGTGCCTGCACCTGTACCTAGCCCTGTGACCTTGTTCCTAGCCACTTGGCCCTACTCCCAGCCATCCTTCAGTACCATGCCCAGCCTAGCTGTTGGCCCCCATCTCTTGACTGTAGACACCATTCCTAGCCTTTTAGCCCTTTCCCCAGCCAATGGATCTTTAGCCCTTCAACTGGATAGAGGAATTTTAATCATAAATCCACTGATATGTTTTGAAATAACTAACAACCACTTGCTGAAAAAGAAATACAGGGGGCAAACTTTTGAACCTTTTCTGCTGATTTCAGGACTCCTTCTTGGACAAACTTATTCCCAGGACGTGGACATGTGAGCTGAGGCTGTGGCAGAATGACCTTCACCCTGGAGTGACAGGACAGTAGGCTTCAGAAATAGTTTCAGGTATCATATAGGCACTGGAGGGGGGTTAGTATGCTCAATGTTCAAGAACATTTCCAGGCACCAGGAAGTAATAGGTCATTTCCAGGTACTAGGAACTAATAGGAAGTATTCAGGCTCAGGGCACTATATAATAAGTATAATGGGAAATATCCAGTCACTGGGTAGTAATAGGACATTCCAGGTACCAAGTAGTAATATGACATTTCCAGGCACCAGGAAGTAATAGGGCATTTCCTGGCACCAGGAAGTAATTGGGCATTTCCAGGATTAATAGGATATTTCCAGGTTACTTGATAACCATACTACCCAGGGATTGACACACAATACATGTATGTTATCACATCATATATGGCTGTAATAATGCATCTTTATCAAGATGCCTTATCAAGGTGGAGTCTTGTATACTTGGCAGCTATTGACTCCTCTTCCACTTTTGCTCACCACGTTTTCAGTTTATCCAGGAAGTGACAGAGAATATGGGATTTTAAGAAAAGATCAGATGACATGTAATCAACAAAATACAATTAGAGCAATATAGTTTGTACAGCAGTAAGTACAGAGATTCACAATTTGTCATTAGGGTCATTCCACAAAATGGAATTTGACACATTGAACAAATGAAATGATTCACTTTGTATAGAACAAACTTGTTATGCACTGCTTTAAAAAAGTGTGTATAATTCCTTTTTTAATGAGATAGTATTAAACTATGTCCACTTCTGTGTCTACTTTATCATATTAATTGCTATTGTTATGACATACTCTGATGATTTTGTTGTTTTGAAGACCAACTAAAAATGTGTATCTTATCTTCTAAACACTCCCTGTATCCAAAGTTTTCTGAGCCCAGCAAAAGGTAATGTCAGCTGCATCATTTGCATAATATTGATAAGCATAATTGTAGTTATTCAATATGCAGTGCACCATACCTGTATAGTCTAAGGTAGAGATGTGTCACATACCATCAAAGAATTATACACAACAGGCAGAGGTCAGATGGCATTTCAGTCTTCAAGTTTACTGACTTTTGGTCACTTTGGTACACTGGTGAAATCCATCCCTCCAAACCTGCCCAAAGGCCTCAGAAACTTTAACTTTAGTCTTAAAATGTATGATAATGAAAGCTGTCGGTCAGTTACCAGATTATCTGATAAAATCAAATTGTATTGTGCACTTTTGATCTTAAGAGTCTGTCACTTGTGTGTCGTAAGATATATCTTGCCTTCAAGTTCTTTTTTCTTTATTGTACATGCATTGGATCCTTTTACAGCTTAAATTTTTTGGGAAAAAATATTATCTTAATGGCAATGGTCAGTGTTAATACTTATTGTTGAGTACAACTGAGTTGATACTTATTGGTGAGTACAACTGCCTCACAGCCATATTGTAGTTACTTTTATTGGTGCTAATACAAGAAAGAAATACAGTTCCTAGCTTTTGTTTTAGGAAGAATATAGGTGATATTGAAATGTCATTTTTCTGAAACAAAACTTGGTTTCAGAAAAATGAAAAGTGAAACAAAACTTGGTTTTGTTTGAAGGCAGGCAATTGACACATTGATTCTGGGATGTGTTATTGGTATCTTGAGGGAAGGGGAGCTGTTTATTAGAAAATGTGAGAAGGAATCGATCAATAGTATGTTAGCAGTTATGACTGCTGTTGTTTAATATTGGTGTAAGTAATTTAAGGACACCACAAAGTGAAATGCAATTATTGACAGAGAGGCAGTGACAGAGAATTTCAATCACAGATCCAAATCATTTTTTGTTTAAAAATTATAAAGCAGTTGTTAAAACCTGCCTTTGTTATAAAATAATGTTATGTATGTGCACTTACTCAAGCAAAAGAAGGTAGATTGGGTGAAATGATGATTATTGTTAGATAGTTAATATTTAAAGTAGTAACTCTGAAATTACAAAAATCTTCTTTTTTTAAATTATTTTTAAGTATCAACATTTTTGGTTACTCACAGTAGCATATTTAATTTTTCTGATATGAACTTCAGACCAACTGATTTTCCATAACTTTCAAAGTACCTTAAGGAACTACTTGCATATTTTTATTATGATCACAGAAAAATTATGAGGTTAACTGCAAGGACTTTGTACATCCTTCTTAATTGATGAACTATTTAGACTTTAATTTTATTACTACACGTGGCAACTAATCATTACTGGCATTGCATGTATATCAGTATATTTACTGTGAAAATTGCTTTGATTGGATGAAATGTACCAAAGTTTTTCATTTAACTAAAAGGGCCAATAGAACTAGATTTTGTTGTCCTCGAATAAATACCACATTTTTCTTTTACAGATGTAGGTTTGGTTAGGGCATTGGGACCATTATTTGCATTTATGCATCCTCTGGCAAGGGGCGCAAGTTACTTGTCAAAATTTAAAACGGTTATTGTGTATGCGCAATTGATTAGTTTTATAGTGTTAAGGTAAAAGGTACATGGGGACCAGAAAGCAGATTATCACGAATTGTAGCCTGCCTCTATGTCTTGATGTTATGAACCAATTGGCTATTTTGAGTTACAGTCATCCTTTAGTTGGTTTACATATGCCATGTAGTGTTGTTTGGGAAGTAATATGTTGTAGTATTAACTGAATATATGACACAAGTTTTCATTGCTGAATGTGTATTATATGTTACTTTTGACGAGCTAATTTTTGTTGGGCTTTTTCTGAACAATTTATTTGTATGCTTTCTATGATCATGATTTTTATTTTTACATTTTCTGTATGTGCAACACTGTATATGCCTCATCAATGCAACTTATTGATATTAAAAATACTATATTATACTGTTTACAGAATTATCTCTTTTCCCTTCATATCAGTATTTTTTTTTCGAGTGAAAATGCTATTATTTTGATGTCATTATTTTGACACAAGTTGTGACTTAGTTTGAACTTCCCCACCATTCAGCTGTCTCAATGTCTTGGTATCTCAGTTGCAACAAAGAGCACTAGACTTGTCAAAGACCAAAATCTAATTATTAAACAAGACCAAGCAATAGATATGCCACACGTAGCAGTGACAGTAAAATTGTTTATAACTGAGAATAATTGCCTAATATGTATTAACCAATTCTTCAAAAACTAATTTAACTATCCATTAATTAAGACATTATGGACATGATTTGCTTATTAAATTAATGCCAATAAACACCCTTCCCCCTTCCCAACAATGCAAAACAATCAAACTAACTTTGTTAAAACTTTATTATAATATTATAAAATCTGAAGGCTACTATTAACTATACCTTTCTGTACATTTACATAAACAGCACTGAATTCAACATAGTATACAGTAAACCATTATTTTTAACATAAGGAAAAATATTCATCTATTTCACATTAAATCATAACATTCCCAGGCTAAGTTTCATTTAGCAATACCTAACCTGCAGTTTGCAAGCACAAATACACAAAAATAGTTTGTTATAAATAGTTGTTTTCAGTATCTCTATATACGAGTGACATTCAGCACCATGGCTTTGATATTACTGTAACATTAGCATCCTGGGGTATTTCAGCTTTACACTAAACATCTTACTTATGACAGCGTTAACACAGCAGCAGTGTGATGCCTTGACCGTGTCAGCTCCTTACGAAGTCCCAAACACAACCTGAATACACTGAAGTACACATATACACACACTAAATTTCTTTACTAGTACGTGTGTGTATATAGATAAATAGTAATCCTTACACAGAATACAGAACAGTTGAATGTTCATTTAAATAGGATAATATATTATTTTGACAATTTCATGGTCTGGTCTTACTAATTGAAGTGAATGGCAAGTTAAATGGGCACCTGTCTTTAAAACAGATGTCAAATGGGCACCTATCTTTAAAACGGATTATGTTTTCAGGTACGTCAAGACAAAATAGAAACATGGACCGAATAAGGTCTAAATTTAATAATTGTTCATCTATAAATCTTGTTTTAGAATACAGAAAAGACTGACCAGTTTCATGGTGGTGGTCCATCTATTTCTTTGCTGAACCCATCAGTTTCCATAACATAAAAAAACTTTTCTTTTTCTTTCAAATACCTGTTCAACTTTGAAAGCCCATGAAGTAATTAAAACAACATTTTTCGGTTTATGAAATGCTTTGGGAAGGTGAATAATAATTCCCTCCAAAATAACAACTTGCCAAGCTCGCATGGCCATTTGTCACATCCATGCTTTAACATTTACCAAGTCATATTTTACAGGAATCCTTTCAAAATACATCTTTTACCATGCCACTGTTTTAGAGGAATCCTTTCCCTATGTGTCTTCTCCAAGCCATATTTTAGTATAGTTGCTCCACATTGCTGCTTCGCGGAATGCGTATCTTATTAATATTTTTGATGATGATATCATGCAATGTAGCCTGAAACAAATCAAAACATACATATAAATAAAACTATTTCACTCCATTTTTAATTTGTGAAAATCAAACCAACTTAAACTTTATTTTAAATCTTAAAATGATCAGGATGAAAATGGACCTTTCAAACCTGAAAATGCAAGCGGTACCTGAAAATGAATACGTGCAGATTCATAAGGGGGCCATAAATACAACAACCAAATAACCCCAATTTGCTAAATCCTCAAGATTTTCATCCCAATGTCAGTGGCACACCTGGAAATATGCCTACAGTAGATCACTAACACAAAGCCATACTTACATATTGGTTTCTTAGTTCACAGCATACTAGCCGGAGTGTGATGAATTCCTTCTCATCCAGCTCACGGATACTTTGCCTGTAGTCAGCCTGACAGAATTATAAATTTAAGCATAATCCAAACTCTAAGTGTAGGAAACATAGAAAATATTAAATAAATCAATAGATTGGATGACAAAAATGAATAAATAAATCAAAATTAAGGATAGATCAAAACAATCATGTTGTTAATTATAAATAAACTGCACAAAGTTATTCCTAGATATGTAACAAAAGCAAAATAAAAAGATAGGTTTTGTTAATAAAGATGGTGCAGAGCCATCATTTATTGTAATTATAATAATGATAATAAACAGAAATATAAAATAATAGAAACATTTTTCCAGCACTACATTACCAAAAAAAAAAAAAAAAAATTATGTTTACCACATGTGGGTACTTGGCCACTTTTGAGATGAGTTTCCCCCTGTGAATGAAGTAGCGGGTCATCTGGTCTAAGAAGGTCGCCGTCTCACTCTCCACTTGACGCGCTTCTGCTAACGTGTCCTCCTGCAGGCCAAATAACACATCTCAGCACTTATATCAGTATATAATACTTACATAATAGTTATTTCTTACTTAACCTAAACAAAACTGACAACTGCTTTCAATAATTTGAAACTATTTAAAACTCAGTCTATTTAACTCAGCATAGAATAAATTACTATTTTAATCATTAAAATAATTATAAGTTCCAACATCAATTATAGCATTTACTCAGTTAGTGAGAGAAATATAACAGTTATAGTTACATTTCGGTAATACACCAGATTGCATATTACATATTTCATTATTACATATTTAATCACCAAAAAATAATTGACTTGATATTGCCATCCACATATCACCAACTTCACACATTATAAATCAACTAAAGTCAATGCACCATTTTTTACCTGTATAGAAACTCCAAAATTATTGCCGTCTTCTATTCTAGGAATAAGATATGTAATCCACATCTTCACCTGAAAACAACAGGCGAAAGCCATATTATCCTGGTCATGAATGGCTTAACATGAACAGTACACACATCTGTATAAC